GAGTTGCTTTAGGACTCAAAGTGGCAGAGTGCTAGCCTTGAGCTGTAGAGCTGAGGGACAGCACTCAGGCCCCGAGTTCAATCAAGTCCAGCAACCAACTAAGGGAAATGCCAGTGAGGCATTTTTCCCAGTGTGAAGACAATCCTGGGACAAAAGTAATGGAGGAGCATCCAGAGGCAGCAAGCCACTGCTTGGATGGCAAAAATAATGTCAGATCCTAGAGTCATTTGTGCATGGTCCTTCAAAAATTGGTCAGAGCCAGGAGGTCATGGGAAGATAGTTTGTAAGCATGCCTAATGTCCATGACTATCTACCTTGTAAGGAACAGGAATTTGCCAGTCCTCTGTGATAGTAGTAAAAAGCTAAGGTTGTAAAATGTGGAGGATAGTTTAAATCTCAACCCCTGTATGTGCCAAAAGCCTTAATTGGCAGTAACTTTTGAGCTGACACCAGCTACATGAAATTCAAATGCTCAGGAAAAAGTTTGTAAATCTGGGAGTGTGTTTCGATTGGTATCTGTCTGAAGGCTTGCATAGGTAACTTAGGCATTGTTAGGCTCACTAGAGATCACATTCCTAAGCCATCCAGAAAGATGCTTTTGCAAAGCAGAATGCTAAATAAGCTGCACTGCTGTAGCCAGAGAAAATGTTTGTGCAGTTGTCAAAAGTTAAAATATTGTTCTTAATGACATCAAACCCTGGTAACCTCTTTGTAAAATAGGCTAAGGTTATAGGTTCCTGGCTAGGTAGGATCAACACCGCTGAGTCAGCTTGAAGAAGTTACAGAAGATGAATCTTCACCCATCATCCCCTTTTAAGAACAAGGGACCAGAGTCACTTTTAGTATAGGCCTGAGCCTTCTATATCTGCCTAGAAAATCCTAGCCTTATTAAAAGTACTGTCTAGTTTAAAAAGTTGTCATCTTGGTAAATTGTCCTGGGCTATTGTCTAAATGGTCTTAAAAACTAGTGTGGTCACAGCCTGCCAAGCCTATGCAATGTATCCTTAAGCAGTCTGTGTAGGAATTTGCAGCCCAGCACGAGGTATGACAGTCCCTTTGAGCCACTGAGAGACCCTGCTGCTGCTGCTGCACACCATTAATGGGTAAAGTTTAATGACAGCCTGACAGTCACCTGGAGGAAATCTACATCATTACCCTGACCACCTTCACCGTGGTAAAAATAGAGTGAACTCCTGCCTGATTCCATCACCTGAGACTGCATCCCGGTTGAAAGCTGCTAAAATTAAGATCTTGTGGGACATTCTTTTGGTGATATCCAGTAACCCTCTCTACTCCCACAGTGGATATTGGGGGCAAGGATATCACTGGCTTGCCTTGAGCACTTCAGGGTCACAGCCTAGTTTGGCTCTGGTATGGTAATAACCTGCTTCCTCCCGGGTATGTGTTAAAGATAAAGGAGAGATTTTTATTTTTTAAATCAATGGAGGTAGTAAGAGGAATGAGACCCAGCCCTACTCTTAGCCTTAAAATCTAGCAAGCTTCTTCATCCCAGTGGTGCCTTGAGAATATTCTGAGATAACTTGGTTCCACAAGCCACAGGAAAAAATGGGCAGTTTTAAACTTCAGCCTCAAAGATTGTAAAGAAGAAGAGGGTAGTAAAGAAAGCTTTGGGACCCATCAGCTTCACTGGACATTGATCAAAATGAACTAAACAACTCAATGGCAGCGATGGGAGGGAGGGAACAAGTGGGAAAGAGTGAACAGCTGATGCTATGCAAAACAAAAGAAATGTACATACCACCCAATGTGGAAGAAATAACTGTATTGCAAAGCTCATAGATCTCATAAATGTTATAGACCATGATAGACAATTTGCTCCATGAAAGTTAGAATGTGTTTGTGACTTGACTTTAAGCATCACTATCCCACAATACTGTGAAATTTGGGAAATTATGTAACCACTTAATCACAATAAAATTTTTGGGAAAAAAAGCAGCTTAAAAAAAAAGCTTTGGGAAAGGAATTGGGGGAAAAATGGTATCCTTGGATAAAAAAGGATTTAAAAAGTAAGGATTGTCTTAAAATGTTTGTAAAGAAGACAAAGCTCCGAAAGTTTATGTAGGTAGCAAATGGTATTGTTATGCCAAGGTTTCAGGACCCACCCCTCACCTCCCCCCCGCAAGAAGACCACCGAGAGTCAGACTCTACAGCTGTTTTATTTAAACGGCCTCATCCTACACTCCAACACAGAGGAGGCTAGGAGGAGAGCCCCGAGCTAAGGATTTGCAGGTCTTATACAGGCACACAATCAACCACCACGTGTTGCTTTGGTAGACAGAAACAAGCAACAAGTGGTGGTCACTGCCTCAAACTTTAACCTGTCAGTATGAGTATGTCTTAAAATTGGAGCTTACGAGTACAGCTCATGTAAAATTAAGTTAGCTGTGATATATGGCGTCAGGACTGGTGGAAGAAAATTTAAAGGCCTTTGACACTGTTAATTTTGTTACTCATTGGTTCTAGTATATTCAACAGACTGGTGTCCTTTGTAAAAAAGAGGATCAGCACAGTCCAACTATTAGTTCTGAGATCCCAATACCAAACTGTAAATATAAAAGACTGTGCCAATTAGGGGACCATGATTGACCCTGAATTTTCTAGAAGAGGAGGGAATGAAGAGCCAAAGTAACTTCAATTTGAGATTAACCCCACCATCTTGTGCTAGGCTGCCCTCAGAGTAACCCGGAAGAGAAAGACAGTTTTCAGAAAAACTGCAGGTGGCCACCAACCCTGCCCACCCTTAAGAGTTCAGAAAAAGGGCAGTGCAGTCCGGGTGGACTCAAAACTCAGTACTATGCAATTTTTAACCAATCATGTAACTGCTTGTGTGGCAATCCCCAAAACTTACTGTTTGTGTGGAAATCCCCTGACCTTGTTTGTTCAATACTATAAAAGCTGTGCTAATTTTGTGCTCAGGGCCTCTCAGCATCACCAGTTGTTTGCTGTGTGTGTGGAGGACCGAACTAGCTCACAATAAACACCTCACTGATCTTGGTCTCTGGTGGTCTTTTTGGGGTCCTGAACTCGAGCATTTCAACACCTATAATCCTAGTTACACAGGAGGCTGATCACGGTTTGGAGCCAGGCCTAGCAGAAAAGTCTTCATGAGACTCTTGGCTCCAATTACCCTTAACTCAAAAGCTGGAAGAAGTGCTGTGGCTCAAGTGGTAGAGTGCTAGTCTTGAGCACAAAAAAGCTCAGGGGCAGCACCCAGGCCCACAACCGACCCCAACCCCCCCCACCAAAAAAAAATGTGATCTACACTCTCCTCTGTATATGGCTTCTCATTTTTTCTTGCACTAGTAACCAGAGCTTCTTCACTGGTGATGATACCAGTGTGACTCAGATCACAGGAGGTCAATAAATCCTGCTTGCCTTTCCCCAAGGGGATTGATTTTAACAGCGACAGTATTCAGAGATGTGTTCCTGTCTTGCTGTTCTCCAGTGCACACATGGCAATTTCCTTGTTCATGCATCAGAAGCAATCTCAGCATATTCATAGCCCCACTCCATCCCAAGGATCCTCTCTAGAGAAAAAGTCCACCTGGACAATCCTGCTGTTACTGAGCTTCTTTGTAATCATGTACTGGGTGGATTTCATCATCTCATCCATCTCAGTGTTATTGGGTATATGGTCAAGTCTTGCTGACTGTTCAGAAGCATGTACTCAATGTCTATCTCACTCTCGGCCATTTGGTCCAAATAAAAATTCTGAAAACATTACTCAAAATGCTATTTATTTAGTTACTTATTTTTAGCTGTCTCTTGGCTTGAACTCTGAGCCTAGATGCTGTCCCTGGGCATCTTTTGGTCAAGGCTAGTGCTTTACACACTTGAGTCACAGTGCCACTTTCGGCTTTGTGATAAATTGGAAATGAGTCTCACAGACTTTCCTGTCTGGGCTGGCTTTGAACTGTGAGCCTCCTGGGTAGTTATGGTTCCAGGCATAAGCCACGAGCAACCAGCCCGTTATTTTTTTTTTCTTTTTAAGTAATAATGGAAGCCAGGTACAAGTGGCTCATGGCTCTAAGCTACTCAGGAGGCTGAGATCTGAGAAACATGGTTTAAATCCAGCCCTGGCAGGAAAGTCTATGAGACTTATATCTCCAATTAACCACCAAAAGCCAGAGGTGGAGCTATAGCTCAAGTCGTAGAGCACTAGCCTGAAGCAAAAGGCACTTAGTCCAGATAGAGCCAAGGCTCTTAGTTCAAATCCCAAGACTAGGACAAAAAAATAATAATGATGGAAAATTTTTTCTGAAAAGTAAGATTCTTCTCACTTCGGTTAAATTGTTCATGTAACAGTACTGGACTTTATAAAAATCTAATGTGTCTGTGTGTATGTGTTTGTGTGCACACACTTGAACCACACTTCCAGTTTTTTTATGATTTATATGAAATTGGTAGAATTACATTTATTCTCAAAAGTACCTTGAAGCTCATGCTGCTGTGTATGTAGTTCCTTTAGCTCAATGTAGGCAATGACTATTTCATATCAAGTCTCATATACATTTCAGTTATTGTGAAGTACACTTTTAAGATGATCCTGTTTTAATTTTTTTTTTTTTTTGTTCATCGTGGGACTTGAAATCTAGGCCTAGGTGAGCTCTTCAGCTTAAGGCCAGTGCTCTACCACTTGAGCCACAGTGCCACTTCCGGCCTTTTCAGTTTATGTGGTGCTGAGGAATTGAACCCAGGGCCTCATGCATGTGAGGCAAGCGCTCTACTGCCGAGCCACCTTCCTAGCCCCTCAATGTTTTTATTTTTGAAAACGTTTTAATTATCAGCAATATTTATATTTTGCTAACTACTTTGTTATAGTTTAATATTATGTGTGAACATCCTGAATTCATATACATAATGAGAATTTGTATTTTTCATTTTAACCAGATATCTAATGAGACTTACACATTTCTCTAGTCATACTTACTGGAGTAACTGAATATGATTAAAAATAAAAATATATATGTAAGTTTTTTAGTGTGGCATTCACATTTTTATAATTTCTACCATAACCAAGATAATGGGAATAAACATTGCCTATATTACATTTTTGTCACAGGAAAACTGGGGATCTATTTTTTTCACAAGAGCAGATTACACTCATTACTACTAATAACAGTAACTCTTTAATAATTGTCTTGAACACTTAACTGTTCAATAATTCAGCTTTTCCTACATTATATCCCAGGCCCTGGTAATAACCATTCCACAGTCTATAGCTATAATTTGACCTTTTGTAGATTTAAATATAAATGAGAGTGATGTAGTATTAACTTTTCTGAACCTAGTTTATTGAACTAATTATCATGCTGTCAAGTTTCCTCTGTATTAAAAACAGGCGGGGCACCAGGCTCACGCCTGCAATCCTAGCTATTCAGGTGGCTGAAATCTGAGGATCGCGGTTCAAAGACAGCCTGGGCAGAAAGTCCTTGAGAGTCTTATCTTCAATAAAACACTCAAAAACCGGAAGTAGCCCTGTGGTTCAATCGGTAGAGCACTCGCCTTGAGCTGAAGAACTCAGGGTCAGAGCCCAGGCCCAGAGTTCAAGCCCCACAACTGACCAAAAAACAAAAAACAAAAACTAAAACTCAGGCATGCACAAGCTTGTAATGCCAGTACTCAGAGACAGAGGCAGGAAAATCATGTTTAATGACTGTGTGAGCCACACAGAGACACTGTGCACCCCAAAAGAGAAAATTTAGGCTAGGTGCCAGTGGCTCACTCCTGCAATCTTAGCTATTCGAAGGCTGAGATCTGAGAATCGCAATTCAAAACCAGCACAGATAGACAAATTCACGAGGCTTTTATCTCTAATTAACCAGCAAGAATCCAGAAGTGGAGATGTATCTCAGTGGTGCTGTGCCAACCTTGAAAACTAAAGCTAAGTAAGAGTACAAAGCCCTAAGTTCAACCTCCAGTACACCCCACACCCACAAATTCAGAACTTTCTTAAATAACTTTATATATGATGTATGCACATCATATAAGTATATTTACATTTTATATGTATGTATACAATGGTTTCTTCATCTACTAATGAACAATTCTTTCTTAGTTATAAGTGATATTGCATGAACATTAAGTGTGGATATCTCTGAGTATGAATATTCTGTGGATGTATTTGAAGAAGTAAAATTATTGGATCACACTTTGAAATTTGCAATTATACTTTGAATGTTTGTGAAAAACACCCTACTGTTTTTCTAAATGCCAGTACTAATATATATTCCTACTAAAAAGATAAATGTTCCATTTTCGACACAGCCTAACATTTGCTCTATTTTGAGATTTTTTTCTTTTTATTTCTTTTTATTTTTTCTGTTGGTTGTGGGGTTTGAACTACTCTGGGCCTGGGCACTGTCCCTCAGCTCTTCAGCTCAAGGCAAGTGCTCTACCACTTGAGCCACAGCACCACTTCTGGTTCTCTGGTGGTTAATTGGAGATAAGAGTCTCATGGACTTTCCTGCCCAGGCTGGTTTTGAACAATCCTCAGATCTCAGCCTCCTGAATAGCTAGTACTACAGCCTATTTTGAGATTTCACAAAAGCCATTCTAGTGTATATAAGGTGTAATCTCATTTTGGTTTAGATTTGCATTCACTGATCATTTACAGTATTGAACATCTGTGTGTGTGTGTGTGTGTGTGTGTGTGTGTGTGTATGAGTTTGTGCCAGTGTAAGGGCTTTGAACTCAGAGCCTGATCATGATGTTTCTTAGCTTTTTCACTCAAGGCTGACTCTCTGCCACTTGAACAACTGCTTTATTTCTACCTCTTTGGTGGTTCATTGGAGACAAGAGTCTGGCTGTAAGCCACAATCCTCAGATCTTAGCCTCCTGAGTAGTGTGTGTTTACATGTATGAACCACGAGTACCTATTGTTTTAAAAGGTATGTTCAGTTTTTTTTTGTTTTTTTTTGTTTTTTTTTGCTGGTGCTGGGGTTTGAACTCTGGGCCTGAGTATGTATCTGTACCTTAGTTATTTTATTCAAGGCTGGAGCTCTACCACATGAGCCACAACTCCAGTTTTGGCCTTTTGATGGTTCATTGGAGACAAGAGACTCATGGACTTTCCTGCCCAGGCTGGCTTAGAATCACAATCCTCAGATCTCAGCCTCTTGAGAGGTTGAGCCATTGGTGCCCAGCTCCCCAATTCATTTTTAAGCAGATGTGAGTTATACAAAATAATGGGTTTCATTGATACTTTCATGAATGTTTAGAATATACTTTGATCACATTCACCCAGGTCCAATTCCTCATCCCAAATATTCACATTTCTATTTCCAGGTTGTTTGTAAATCTACATGTGAGAGTAAACATGTGATACCTGTATTTCAAAGTATGCCTTATTTCATTGAACACAATGATCTCTAGTTCCATTTATCTTCCTGTAAACATCATCATTTCATTCTGTCTGTCTGAATAAAACTCCATTGTCTATCTAAACCTCAAATTTATTGCCTATTCTCCCATTGGCAGGCATCTAGGCTGATACCATAACTAGTATATTATGGCTAGTATGTCAATAAACTTGAGTGTGCATGTATATTTGTAGTAAGTGGACTTACATTCCTTTGGGTATGTACCCAAAAGTGGTATACCTGGATTACAGAGATATCATCATTCTATTCTTAGATTATTGAAGATTCACCACACTACCATAGTGTGTAGACTAATCTCAATTGTTACCAACACTGCGCAACTGAATTCTTTGCATCCTCTTCAGAGTACTCTTTGAGGCTGTGCCTCCTAGGTTTCAGGGCCTTTGAGGAGGCATGGTCCTCTGTGCAGCTTGGTCCTCATGAAGGCAGGTTGTCATCTGTAAGGCAGAATGCTCCACAAAGCAGGATAGTCAATGAGGCAGAAGTCTCTCTGATGCAGGACTCTGTATGAGGCATGACCAATTCTATAAGAAGAAGGCAAAGCTATTATTCAGGGCTATCTTTTATAATGCAGGGTCCTCTTTGAAGTATGGTCCTCTAAGCCAGGGTTGTTTTTATGAGGAACAGACATGATTTGGGGTAATTTCCTCTTTAATGTCACTGGGTACTGATAGCTCACACATGTCATCCTAACTACTCAAGAGGCTGAGATTTGAGTATAGTGGTTCAAAGCCAGCACAGGCAGGAAAATCTATGATACTCATAATCTCCAATAAACAACCCCCAAATCCAGAAGTAGGAGTATGGCTCAAGTGGTAGAAAGCCCTTCTTTAACCAAAAGCAGCTCAAGAACAGCACCCCAGCCCTGAGTTCAAGCCCCAACACTAGCACAACATCAACAAAAAATGGCTGTTTATGGAGCATGACCTTCTAGGAAACAGGGCCCTCTAAGAGGCAGATTCTATTATGAGCCAGGTAAGCATTGTTAGGCAGGACCTTCATCCTGTGAGGCAGGATCCTCCAAGGTAGGGATGTACCCTACACAGGACACTCAATTAGGCAGGGTCTTCTGAGGAAGGCTCCTTTTTGATGCATGGCATCTATGACACAGGGTCCTCTGATACAGGACTATTATTTGTGTGGCAGAGCTATCTTCTATGAGACCATGTTCTGAGGCTTAAACCCTTTAAGATTGGGGGTCTCTTCTATGTAGCAAAGGCCCTATATTAGGTAGGAACCTCTATGAAATAGCGTCTTCTTATGGGACAGAGGCATCTATGAGCCAAGACAGGATCTTTTAGTGGCAGGCACCTCTAGGAGGCAGATTGCTCTAGGATTCAGGGCTGTTCTTTATGATGCCTGGTTCCTGTTTGAGTCAGGGCCCTCTGTATTCTATTAACCAGAGCCTTCAGTAAGACAAGGAAGTCAGGAATCCTTTATGAGGGAGAGCCCACTTTGTGACAGTGCCCTTTGACACAGGGCTACCCACTCTGAGGCAATATCTTCCATGAGCCTGGGTCCTCCCTTAGGCTCCTCCATAAGCAAGGACTCTTTTTGAGGCAGGATCCTCTATGAAGTAGGGTTTTCTGTGTGTCCTGGTCTTCTATGCCTCTATGAGGAAGGCCTGTCCTTTATGGATCAGGATCCTCCATGAAACATGGTCCTCTATTCAGAAAGGTCCTATGGGGAGAAGGTTCCATCATGGACCATGGCGCAGGATCCTTCATGAAGCACAACCCTCTGAGACAGAGCCTCCTGAGAAGCAAGGCCTTCTTTGTGGCAGTGTCTTCTATGAGAATGAGCCTTCTATGAGATAAAGCAGAGCTGTATTCTTTGAAACAGTGTTTTCCATGATGGAAGGCCCCTTTTTTCAGGCAAAGCTTTCCACTATGGGGCAAGACCTCCAATATGCAGGATCTTTTATGAGACAAGAGTCTTTTAGGAGTCAAGGCCCTCTGATACAGGGTTCTCTATGGGGCAAGACCATTTTTGAAGCACATCCTCTAGAACCCAGAAGCCTCTATAAGACAGACCCCTCTATGAGGTTGGGCCTTACTTTCTAATTCAGAGTCCTCTTTGAGGCAAGTGAGCTTGCAGAAAGAGTCCTCAATAAGACATCATCTTCTGAGACAGGACCCATTATGAGGTAGTCCCCTATCCCTATGAGACTGAGTATTCTCTTATTCAGTCTCCTGAAGGAGGGCTACTGTCTAGGATGCAGCATTCTCAATGAGGCAATGTGAGGTAATGTGATCTGAAGTAGGGATATCCTTTTCTTTCTTTGTATCTATCAAATATATTTTATTACCTGATTTATCAGAGAAACATCTTAGCTCTGAGTATATGAACCTAAACTATTCTTCCTATAATAAATAGGTTAGGAAAATATCCTAAAGTAGCTGGAGGCAACTTACATTATGTTACTGCATATATAATACTTGAGGAATGTCAGAGACACTTGGAAACTCACTATAGAAACTAACTTTAGAAGCAAACCAGTTACTTTCACTCTAATGTAAATTAATATTTATATGCATACACATAAATCTAAAAATTATCGTGTTGAGTGGCTGTTTATGAGAAATGGTTAGAAATTGATTAGCTTAATTTTATACTTAACAATTCAATCATTTGGGGTATAAAAAAAAGTCAATGCATTCATCAACTCCATAGAGTCAGATATTCAGGCATATGCTAATAAAGAACCTTCCTCAACATCACAGGCATTGTACAGAAAGAATATATGTACTCTGATGCAATTCCTACTCCATAAGCAGACCAGACAGCACTTGGCTTTCTTTTAAAATAGCTTAATAAAAGAAATATATAAAGAAATGAATATTTGCTTTAAAAAAGTCTTTTAAAATGATATCAACATTAAAATCTGCTCATTGAGAAGAGCCTGTTGAATGTAATTTCTGTTTTGAAATGCCGTTAATAGTTCAGAATATTGCCTTGTGAAGTTTGAATAAAGATGTGGTTGATGTAAAGACCAGATAGAGTATTTAATTCCATCTCATATGCCATGATCACAATTTAGATATAATCCTCTGATCAGTTGTTCAATGTAAATGGATCTCCTTGAAACTTGCTATACACCTTAAAATTATCTATAATAAACAGTTCCCCAACCATCATTATTATTCATACATTGGAATATATTGATCATTCAGAAAAGGTTTAGTACAAAATATAGAAATGTTACTGCATAATTTTCTGTAAAGATAATTGACATTGCTAGACTAGACCATCAGTGATGGGCTACTGTTATTTCAGTTGTGTTGTCAAATTTATTAAAGTTAAAAAGAAAAATTTCTGATTCAGCTGCCTTGTTAGCTGGTTTTAAAATATGTAATAAAATGGGACATAATATCCACTCATAAATACATGGAATCAATATGTGAAAGTATGCTACACAATAGACAAGCTTAGAGAACACCAGAATATACCAGAGTAGTCACCAGAGTGAAAAGTCTTCCACTACAAAAAAAGGGGAAGAAGCCCAGCGCCAGTGGCTCACATCTGTAATCCTAGCTACTCAGGAGGCTGAGCTCTACCTCCTCACACTTTCCATCATATGCTGCTCCTGCCGGTCTCCAGATCCCACTGGGCCAGGGCAGCGAAGGCCAGGACAGGCAAAGCCCACTGCTGAGGCTGCCATGCCTCAGCTTCTGCCTCCTGCTGACCTGCTCCCTGAAGGAAGGGCGCTGCTTCCCCCAGTCAGCCAGGGATGTCCTTCCAAGGAATGGCCCCGCTGTGATGGATATGCAGTCCTCTATGAGGCAAGCCCTGCATCACTGAGGACCCTGCCTGATACAAGTCCCTGCTTAATAGCACATCACTTCATAAAGAACTGTCTCAGAACCTTGTGTCACGTGGGATCCTGCATCATAGAGGACAGCTCTGAACCATTGTGGGCTCTGCCTCATAAAGGCTCTTGCCACAAAGATGGCCTGGGCTTGAGGCTGTGCATCGGTGGCTCACATCTGCAATCCTAGCTACTTAGAAGGCTGAGATCTGAGAATCACCATTCAAAGCTAGCCCAGGTAGGAAAGTCCAGGAGACTTTTCTCTCCAATTAATGACGAAAAAGCTGAACATGGCTCAAGTGGTAGAGCACTAGCTTTGAACAAAAAAGCTAAGCAACAGTGCCAAAAAACACAGCTTAGATTGGTGGCCCTACCTCATAGAGGGCTTTGGTCTAAAGAGGGCCCTGCCTCAAGAAAGCCTTGACTCCTCATAGGAGGACCATGGCTCACATAAGACACTTGATAAAGGTCTTTGTCTGAGAGAGTCATGCCTTATCAAGGCCATTCCAACATCATATGACCCTGCTTTCAATGCTGACCTTGCCTCATGTAGCACACTACTTCCAAGAAGATGCTTCATACAGTACACTGCTTCATAGAGAACCTCTTTCCCATGGAAGAACCCTGATGCACTAGAGTCCATCCTTCTCCCAGAGGAACCTGCCTCAATAGAAATAGATAGAGCCTTTATAGAGGGCCTTTTCTCATAGTTTCCTGACTCACAGAAAGTCCTGCATCATACTAGACTGCACGGCCCCAAAAGATCTGGCCTCATAGAGAAATACCAGCATGAGAAGAACCCACCATAGAGAGTACACTTCCTCATAGTAGATAGACCCACTTACAGGGACTTACATTGAAGAGGACTGGACACTGGTTGCTCAAGCTTGTAATCCTAGCTACTCAGGAGGCTGAGATCTGAGGATCATAGTCCCAAACCTGTTTGGGCAGAAAAGTCCATGAGATTCTTATTTTCAATTAACCACCAAAAATGGAGCTGTGTCTCAAGTACTAGAGGGCCAGCCTTGAGCAAAAAAGCCAGGGATAGTGTTGTACTTGGACTCAAGACCCCCCGAAGACCACCAGAGACCAAGATCAATGTAAACAGCTAAAGAGTCATTTATTGCAAGCTCGAGCTTGGCCCTCTGTGCACCAGATAACTGGTGACCCCAAGAAGCCCTGAGCCCAGGGTTACAGCACTTAAATACACTTTTTAGGGAAGGCAGGGTCTTTGCATACATCATAGCATCTTGTAACTTATCACTACACATTGCAGGAAAGTCATAAAACAATTCTATAGTATAATTGGCGCACTACAAAGTGGGACAGGACCAGAAAAATGTTGTTGGTTAGATCAAAGGGCTGAGGTATTTTAAACTGGTTGGCTCCCACCACAGGGGAGTCTCAAGGATTTAAGTGCTGAACTGCAGAGTTCCTTTCTCAAACAAACACCACCTGTGGTCTGACTGCTGGGTTACCATGCCCTCCAGCAACTGTCTGCGGGTTTTCCCAAGGACTGTTTATGTCCCTAGTCACCCGGGAATTGTTTTTTCTGTTCATTCCCAGGTCGGGCTCATGGTCAGCTGCATAACTCATACCTCTCAAGATGGTTACTAGCTCAAGATGGAGTCACCAGGCCTCAGGCTCCTCAATAGCACCTAGGCCTGAATTCTCTAGGATTCCAGGATTCACATAAGAAAGAAAATGATAGAAAGATGAAAGAAAGAAAGGAAGAAAGGAAGGAAAGAAAGAAGAAACTGCAATGAGCTTAGAAAGTAACACACTGGATTGAATCCCCATTGTACAACTTACAGTGCTGTGTGTGTGCGTGCGTGCGTGCACGTGCGTGCGTGTGCACACATGCACGTGCCTGAATAACTAGGTTTACAGGCTGAAACTCTGCCCCACTTGGAGATCAATTAAACCTCAAAAAAAAAAAGCATAAACCGGTGATGTATATACCTGTAATCCTAGGCTGAGGTCTGAGGATCACAATTCCAACCCAGCCCAAGAATGTGAAGTGCATGAAACTCTATTTCATAACTAACCACCAAAAAAGCTGAAGTGGATCTGTGGCTCAATTGGTAGAGTGCTTGAGTAAAAGAGCTGAGACAGCACCCAGGCCTTCACTGAGTTTAAGCTCCTAGTGCCAGAACAAAAAAGAAGGAGGAGGAGGAAGAGGAAGAGGATGAGAAGGAGGAGAAGGAGGAGGAAGGAAGGAAGGAAAGAAGGAAGGAAGAGAGGGAGGGAGGGAGGGAGGGAGGGAGGGAAATCTGGAACAAATTCTGCTGTATACAATATCCCAAGGCTGAGCCAGGTCCACCACAGAGAGTTAAGCCTGAACTGACCCTCTAAACCACTCAGCCAGAGAAATGAACCCAATCTGGTGACTCAGGCCTAGGGGTGGGGCTATGCTATACGAGTCAATCACAAAGCCTGTTTCTGATTGGCTAATAAAACAGAGGCTTCACCAATGGCCCAATGAGAAGTGTCAATGGGAGGAGCCCCCTCTCACTACTGATAAAGGTGGAGTTTCATCTTGGAGGTAAAGGGAAGTGCGACCAGGTGGGAGAAAGATGTGGCCATATCAGATCTGGATGTGACCTCAGCAGATGCGGATGGACCTCCTGTAGCTGTGTCAGTTGCCTCTGTAATGGGTAACCTAGGTACCGGGAGAAGACTTGACTGCAAGGAGAGAGGAGTCTGCCTGCCATCCAGCCATCCAGGAGTGGAGAAAAGACAGAAGGCTGGGGAAACCACACACCCACTGCTCCCTCTATGCTTAAACTCCATAAAAAAATCAGGAGTCTTTCCCAGGATGGATCCCCCATTGCCACATGACCTGGGCTGAATTCACCTCTCCTGGAGCAGACAGGATATATAGAACAGGATGGACAGGACTCCTCAGACGCCAGGTTCCCGCCCCCACCGAGCCTGGCCCCAGCCCTTCTTGCAGGCCACTGAGTGAAGTGGCTCCCTCTTGACTAGTGGGTCCTGATTATGGCCACCACAGACCCAGGTAAGCTCCCTGCCTCTTCCCTTTCCATCGGCGCCGCCCCCTCCCATTCTAGATGTGTGGCAGCTTCCGGTTCCAAGATCCTTCCCCTCACCCACCCCACGTTCCTCATTCCAGAGGAGCTTCCCACTCATCATTTCCCACTTCCCATGCATTCGGCTGTCCTCATTTATGATCCTGACAGTCACTGGACACCAAGAAAACTGTGGAACCAGGTTTGAAACCAGCCCCGACAGTTAGGTTTGTGCGACTGGTAAATCACCAAAACGTTGGAAGCACAGCTGTGGCTCAAGTGGTGGAGAGTGCTAGCTTTAAGTGAAAAAGCTAAGAAACAGATAAGGTCCAGGCTCTGAGTTCAAATTCCAGGACCCCACTGCAGTAGCTGGTGGTGACCGCAGCAGAGTCTCAGTAAAATTGGTGACTCCGGTTTTATTGATTGAGTTTTATGCAGAGAGGGAGCAGTGGGTGTGGTTTCCCCAGCCTTCTGCCTTTTCTCCTGGTTTTCCTACTGTAATGTCCACTCCTGGATGATGGGCAGACTCCTCCCTCCTAGTGGCCAAGTCTCCGCCCAGTACCTGTGTTACCTAGGCAACTGGCACACCTGGAGGAGGTCACCTCTGCATCTGCCTAGGTCACATCCAGATCCGATGTGGCCACAACTTTCTCCCACCTGGTCCCACCTGCGCTTACCTTGCCCCACCTCCCTTTATCTGGCCACATCTCCTCCACCCTACCCTAGGTGAGGCCTGGCCCAGAGCCAGACTTCCCTTTTTCCAGCCACGTGGAGTGCCAACCTGGCCCAGCTGGTTGGCAGAATAAACTTATCCCTTGGTTGAATAGCACATGCGTGGTGGTGTTCCTTCCTGGGAGCCTCTTTCATTACCTAACACCTATGAGCCTTTCAGGTTCAAGGGAAGCAGAATTTAAATGCCACCGGCCAGTCCCATTCTGAGTGCTGCCAAGATAAATATGTGAATTTCCACCTATCTCCCACATTGTTATACACATTGGAAATGTGCATCCATATGCACACATCCTTGCTTGGTGTTGGAGAGACTATTGTCCTCTCTGACATGTCACTGTCCTCAGAACTTGTTTCTGAATGTTGATATTGTGTGTGCGTGTGTGTGTGTGTGTGTGTGTGTGTGTGTCCGTCTGTCTGTCTGTGCACTCATGTGGACCCATTCACTCAATATGGACTTGGATACTGACCTTGAACTTTGCACTTAAAGCTGATGGTCCTCCACTTGTGCCACAGTGCGACTTCCTGCTTTGGGGTAGCTTATTGGAGATAAGAGTCTCACCAGGATCTTCCAATTTCATCCTCCTGAGTAGCTAGTGAGAGGCCTTAGCCAAAGTACAGCCATTTTGGACTTAGTCCCCATTTTGAAGGCCTTTACCAAAAGTATCCATTGTGCAGGCCTTTACCAAAAGTGCCCATTGTAAAGACTTTTACCAAAAGTAAGAACTCAGGTTCCTGGAAAAACTGCAAAATGTCCCAATAACATTCTGCCCGTAACTCTCCTAGCAATAGCCATCAGCTGGTGACAGATGTTTCTTAAGATAGCATAGTTAACATATTTTGCTGCTTAGCTGCTTAGCCTGAGCACTTTAGCCAATAAGATTGTTACAAGACTTAGTTACTAAATGTCAACCAATCATGTAACTGCTAAGTTGGAAACCCCCTACCCTTGCTGTAACCACATAAAAACTTTGCTAAACTGGAAGTCAGGGCTCTCAACTCTGACTTGCTGTGTAGGACTCGCTGCAGCAGTGACGGTTGTGAGTCCAGGCTTGAGCTTGCAATAAACAAATCTCATGTGCCTGCATCAGAATCGGCTCCTTGGTGGTCTTTGGGGGAGCCTTATCTGGGCATAACACTAGGATTATAGGCCTATGTCCCTGGCAACAGACTAGATGTTGACTTTTAGTTCTTATGTTTTTAAAATTGTATTATAAAGTTGATGTACAGAGAGGTTACCATTCCATAAGTCAGTAATGAGTCCATTTCTTTTTGGACATGTCACTTTCCTTTGCTGTCTCCCATTCTTCCATCTCATCCCTGCCCTGTATAATTCATTTTCAACATGGTGTCAACTGAATATCACTACTGCATTTATTCACCATTTGTGCCTCCACTTTTGTGTCATCCTGTTTGTCCCCAAAAGACAGACAAAGGAACAAACAAACAAAAATCTTGTTTCCATTTCCTGGAATTCATTTTGATAAATATTTTTATATGATGTGTGGATGTTAATTCTTTGAACCTTGATTCATAATCTTTCAACAAGATGTGAACACTTAATAAATTGCAATTCTTTATTCCTTTTAAGATTATTTTGTTGAAGAGGATACATTTCAGGATTAACCAAAGTGTATTTCTAATACACATTAGTTTACCCAGGTGAAAAAGCAATAAACCACAGTGCAGCTCTTTTAACCTAGGACTCAGGTTGTAATAACAAACTCCATTTCCATCAATGGACATGTGGTAACCATCAAAGAGGTTGTAAAAATAAATCCCAGCTGGGTGCTGGTAGCTCACACCAGTAATGCTAACTACTCATGAGGCTGAGGTCTGAGGATCACAGTTTGAAGCCAATCCAGGCAGGAAAGGCCATTAGAATCTTATCTCCCAGTAACCACCAGAAGTGGCACTGTTAGCCCAATGAGCTCCCTTCCCATAGCTTAGCATGCTCCTTTCTCCTTCCACAGCTTAGCATGCTCCCTTCCTAGGCAACACTAAGCCCACTTAGTCAAGGTAGTAATCAGCCTCCAAACCCTGTTTGCCTTGAGATGGCACTCCTCTGGGGCACCTATCACCATATAAGCCAGCAAGAGCCCCTTAGTGTGACCTTCAGGTCCAGGCAGCTGCAGAACCCCTTATCTACTACTTGGGCAGCAGCCATAAATCCTAGTCAACCATGATGAAGCCACTGGTTCTCATGTCTACACAAGAGTCTCTGGTTCCTAGCCCCTTCTAGCCCCTCCTAGCCTCAGTAGGTTATATAGGTCACCTCAGACAATAGCCGGTGCTTCTTCTCACTCCTCTCTTCTGAGAAGGGATTTGCTGATCCCTTTGCTGGCAATAAACCTTTCTTTGTTCTGCGTACCTGGATATCTGCATGGTTTTCTGGCAAAAGTCTAATATAACAGTGGTACATTGGCCAGGAACTAGTTCTCTTGGTGAACTTGTTCTTCCCTCTCTTGTGAGGGGAATGTGTGTGTGTGTGGTGGGGGGGATTCATATCTGTCCCAAGGGGCCTGGTTCTCCACTTCTGTGGTAGTCTTCCTCTCATCCTGAAAGTTACGACCCCAGAGGCCTGGACATTTGCTGGACAGACAGAGCCACAGCATAGCCTCCTCCTGCCCCAAGCACTCTCCCACACCCAAACACTGGCCTTCCTTCATTTGCATGGGGTAAGTGGACTTGGGATTCCTATCGTGACATTCTGTTCTTTCTTTACTTTTATCTAGACTCATGGTGCCAACTTTTCTTAACCCCCCAGACCTGAGGCTCGGGACACAGGAGTCAGGTGATGACCTCACTGCTGTCTCCTGCCACTTTATTCGTAGGACCAAGACATTTTGTGGACGCCTAGATTGTTTTGGGCCTCACGTCACCAATGGGTAATTCTCAATCTAAACCCCCATCTGACTCCCCCTTGGGGTACGTACTGGCCAATATGCTCTTTCCACCTAGCTCCTGGCCTTAAGCACAGGTGCCTCGCCTCATTAATCTGTACAACTGGGCATGGCCTGATTATGACCTAGGGAGCCCATCCAAATGACCACTTAATGGCACCTTTTACCCCATCATTATTTGGGATTTATTCCACTCTTGTGAGCGCTCGGAAAATGGAACCCATCCAGGACTTCCCATTTCTTCACTCTCTAACTACCTCCAGAGTAAAAATCCTCTCTCTCTCTCTCTGCCACTGTATTTATGCCCTTATACTTTACACATTAAATTCTCCCTCTCAAGGCCAAACTGTTTTCAAACTCTCTCCCTCCCACCTTCCCTGAAGTTTCTATTGCCACTGTAGTCTCTGGCTTCTCAACCCCTCCACCTTCCAACTTCTCAGGGTCCCAGCCACCTGCACAGCTCTCTCCTGGCTCTCTGGCCTTGGCTCCAGCAGCCCCCCTCAGCCCCTCCTCCCCCTCCAGCTCTCCATCCTCCCTTCTTCCTTTCCGCAGCTCCTCCTATAGCTCCTCCCATGGGCCGTCACCATCTCAGCCCCTTCTCCCACTTCACTCCCTCCCATCTTCTCAGTGGTTCCTCCTCTCCATCAAGCTCTCAAGACCAATGCCCTCCTCTCTCAGCGTGGCACTGCTCCTCATTCCAAGCCTCGGCTGCTCCTCCCCTTTCCAAGCCCCCTATACTCATTCTGCTCCACCCCCCTCCCAACACACACAAACTTATCCTACACTGCCCAGAAGTCCTACTCTGCTATAAATCTCCCAGCCATCTCCTCTAACTTTTCTTGTCTGGTATCACCCCCCCCCCGGATGATCTCCAGACTGGAGATCATTTCCCACTAAATTGCCTCCACTTCTGCTGTACCCTGAGCATGAGATGCAGACAGGGTCCAAGAACACCCCCCCCCAAGATTCCCTCTCAAGGGCTGGGAAGGTAGTTCAGTGGTAGAGCGTTTGTCTTGCATGCATGAGGCCCTAGGTTCAATTCCTCAGCACCACATAAACAGAAAAAAAAAGCAGGAAGTGGTGATGTGGCTCAAGTGGTAGAGCGCTTGCCTTGAGCTGAAGAGCTGAGGGACAGTGCCCAGGCCCAGAGTTCAGGCCCCATGATTGGACCCCCCCCCAAAAAAAAGATTCCCTCTCAAGGGCCAGCCATCCTGGATCAGTGGTTCCTCTTGTACATTCTTCCTCTCTGTAGCCCATTTGGAGTCTCTAAACTAAAACTGTTGGTCTACCACAAAATCCTTCTGCTAACCTCTGTCCCTGCCTGCCTCTCTGTGTGGACATAAACCTTACATTTCCTAACCCCCTTCTCTGGCTAACACCTTCTTCCCTTCTACACCCTAAATAAGCGAGCCTCTGCCCTGTCTGTCAATAATCCATCACTGACAGTAGCTAGCTGGCTAACACACTGGACCAGCTTCTCTCCTGCTATTCCTTTTACTGCTCTCTCCCTTTCCCACCCAAAAATATCTCTGAGACTCAGACCTTAATTCAATTATTTTCTCTTTCCTAAATCCACTCACTTTGGTATCTGAATTGTTAATTTCTCCCTTAAGCCAAATTCTCTGGGAGGCTTCAAATAAAAATCCCTCCCTCTTCCCTCTTCCCTATCAAATACCTCTATCCAATCAGCTCCTCTCCTTAAAAAAAACCTGCTCACCCATCCCCTCCCCCAATTCTATTTACAGGCCTTAGAAACTGACACCTAAAAAAAGACAAAAGACACATGGTGGGTTTTCTACAAACCCCTTCCCACTCTCCCACCAACCTTACTCTTCTTCACTCTTCTAGGTGTTCAGAGATCAATTCATATTCTGATATGCCTTGCTAACAAAATTACTGCCTCTCCTCACAGGCCCTGTAAACTGAGATCCAACCATCTAATATATTTTGTTAACAAAGATGTCTAAACTTATTCTATTGTCAAATTTATAATTCTAAGTAACTTTTTACAGCCATCCTGGTAACTTTTGCTAAAAAAAAATTCTCCAACCCATGCTCTAATTCTACACTAAGTAACTCTCTAAATGCCTAAAATCACCAGCTTCTACATAGCCTCTAAGTTTACCCTTTTTAGGCCTAAAACAGCTCCAGCATCAAGAAGACGCCATGCCATGTGTCTCCATGTTCACGCTGGGTGGCTTGTCTCCTTATCTGATCACCATGGCGTCCCACTTCAGCTCTCCATTGGAGCTGAATTGGTTTGTTGCTTTGTTTTTCTTCCTTCTATCTTCTCTGGCCTATCAACGGGTTCCAAGATTTGATACTTCAACAGGTGGCTTCTCCTTTTTCCCAATTTATTAAAATCCCAGTACCAAGAGGGCATCTGGGTTCATTAAAGCCACTGGCAGATGGCAGATGGCCTCGGTGGGCCGGCTGCCAAGCGATGGAAAACTCCACAGGGGGAGGTGCACCCCCTGACAAATTTCAAGGCCCTGTGGTCTTTCCACCACTCTGACAACCAGTGCATTGAAGCTAGACATGCCATCCAAACATTTTTGTTGTGAGTCACTCAAAACACCTTTCAGAAGTCTCTGTTCTTCATCCTGTTTTATGTTTATGTATTTGTCTAAAACTGGGGCATCAATCCTTCTGTTTGTTTTTGTGTCTCTAGGAAAAAAAGAGCCTACTATGTGCTATGTTCCCTCCTGCAAGAAGGCAGTTGGGAGCATGCGTGCAGCTGAGAACCTGGTTCAAACAACTAATGAAATGCCTTGCTAACACAATCAAACCCTAAAAAATGAGCTCCAGCTAAAGTGCTTTGTTAAAAAAAAAAGATTTTGTCTTAAATCTTGGTCATCTACAAGAGTAAGACTGACAAAGAGATCTCTTGCCACTGAAAATTATTCACAATATATAAATACATGTTCAACATAAAAACTGTCATCTGTGATAAAGAAAACCACTAAAAAATGTAAACCAAGAGGAAAGTTAGTAAAAAGACTTTGAAAAGGGAAACTGAGGAAATGCCTTTGGATAAAAAAGTGTTTAGAAAGTAAGAATTGTCTTAAATGTTTGTTCCAAAATGGAAAAGGTTAAAAATTAACTCCAGAAGTTTCAAGTAGATGTAATAATAGCAAAAATTAAAATTAAATATATAAAACTAAATCCCAAACTGCTTGTATCAATGGGAAAGCCCTTTGTTGACTCACAGCATAAAAGACAACTACGGGGACATACCCAGGAGTGGGACCTCTGATGGAGGATGGCTCACAATTTTCTCATCTTGTTGGATTTCTACTTTAAAAAAAAAAAATTCTGGGTTGGGAAGGTGGCTTAGTGGTAGAGCGCTTGCCTTGCATGCATGAGGCCCTGGGTTCGATTCCTCAGCACCACATAAGCAAAAAGAAAAAAAGCCGGAAGTGGCACTGGGGCTCAAGTGGTAGAGTGCTAGCCTTGAGCTGAAGAGCTGAGGGACAGCACCCAAGCCCAGAGTTCAGGCCCCACGACCGGACCCCCCCCAAAAAAAAAATTCAGTCATGGGGATTGAACTTAGGTCCTGGAGCTGTCCCTGAGCTCTTTCAACCACTTCCATGGTTAACCATTTAATTGGCAGCATCTTCTCTATCATAATTCCTCCAGACAGTTGTCTATACTGTTTGAATCTGGAACTCCAGAGGCACCGCAGCTTTCCACCACAAATTACCCAGTTTGTGTGTGTAAAGTATATTACTGATAGCTGAAGAAGGCCAAATCACAGTACAGGAAAAATGAAATCAAGAAGCTTCTAAAAAATATGTTTTGTTTATAAGAATACTGTACAGAGGGGTTACAGTTACATGAGTAAGGTAATGAGTACATTTCCTATTGAGCCTAGTTATCTCTTCATTTGTTTTCCCTATCATCCCTTCCCTCCCCACCTCCCCAAATCATCCCTCCGCTCACCCCAAAGTTGTAAAGTTTGTTTTCAACAT